TGTGGCTACACAGTGAAAGGGAAATGAGCCAGTAGTTTACACAACTCAGGGTGGGCCTTTTCAATGAAGAAAACAATTACATCATATGCATCTTGGTTCTTTAAGAGCAACACGTTATTACCCCTCATGGAGAAAGAAGATTAAAGTGGACATCACAGCAGCTTTTTAAAGCTGTATTGTATTTCATCTTACTCAAAATTGCTCAAACATTTATAAAAGAGGAATCAAGAAAAGTGTTGCCAAAGTGTGTGTGCATATATATATATATATATATATACTCATACTCATATATATATATAAAAAACTTGCCTATGACTATAATGTATATATATATGACTTGCCTCTGTCTATTGATTGCCTGGCTTTACTAAAGAAATAAGTGATGTTAAGTGGCTCCCCTGATGCTTTTGGCAGTTTTCCAGGGATCTGGTTATATGCCTGTCTTGGGGAAATACCTATCTTTTGGGGGTTGTTAGAGTCCTCAGGATACCAGGCTGTGCCTAGGAAGGGTTGTGGTAGAGGTGTAGAGTGTGGGGTGGGGATCCCCAGGGCTGTTTGGAGTCCTTCCCCTTTAATTCTCTCAAGGTGACTGGGAAAGAAAGGAGAAAGACTGGTTTTGTGTAGGTTAAGCTGGTCTGGTGAGCCACAGAAAGATAGGGAAGGTGCTATTATTGCTCCCATGAGGGAGAGAACAGGAATAATAATGCCTGTGATGATAATAACCTGCATTAGTCCAGGCTCTTGGTTGGCCATTTTAGATACATTTTCCCATTTAATCATCAAAGCTCTTTTGGGTATTATTTTCTTTTTCACAGATGAGGAAATTGAGGCTCATAGAAGTTAGATACTTGCCCAAAGGAACATAATTGTAAGTTACTGTCTCTGAGCATACTGTGCTTCATTGAACAGGCTTGAGGAGGTAATGTGACATTTAGTTTTGTGGTCAGAGAATAAATAAGGTGGTCATTGCTGAAAGGAAGAAAAAGAGCTGGCATTATGAGGAGGACAAGATCTTGAGTTTTATAGTGTGGAAGGGATTTGATTAGTATTTTATCAAATCCTGACTGGTTTTGGATGATGCAAACAACCTGGAATTGCTAACTTAGGGTGGTTCCCTTTTGATAAAGTTTGAGAAAGCTCAACTAAGAAAATCTGAAAGAAATAAACTAGCAGGAAATAAATCTTGTGGAACTTGCTCTAAGCACAATGAACATACAAGTTTAGGGTAAGTTTAGATAATACCTTAGATAGTAGAGCCATAATGATATACTATGGGTAACTGTGGTTTAAGGCACATCACAGAATTTTGAGGCTGGAAGTTTGAAGGTGTCAGACAACTAGACCCTTCATGCTTGTGACGGAAGAAAGACTGTGGCATGGCCTATGAGCCTGACCCAGTAAGGCAGCTCTGATTTTCTTTATATTAGTGTAGGTTCATATTGTAGTTCATAATGCACTTTCAGCAGTGGAGAAATCCAGAGTGTCCAGGGAATCAGAAGGAACTACTGAGGAGGTAGGAAACCACTTATGCCCCGCCCCGGACCCTCTGATTATATCATCAACCTAGAGGAATGGGAATGGAGATAACTACAAAACCCCGTAATGGCCATTACACAAGCAAAATTAGATTTAGGCACACAGTTTCCAAACTCTTAAGATAATAATCTTTATTTAAAAATGACAAAACTAGAACTCAAGTGATATGACTTCAGTTTCACAGTTGGAACTAGAACTCTGGTCTCCTAACACGCTTCATTTTGTTTTTTATGTTGTCAAATACTATTTGCTTTTTGTTTTTATATGCACTTACATCCTAAACAGCCTCTTACCTCACTGTATTTGTAAGAATAGTAAATTGTGGGTTTCAAGTTATGGCCATATGAAAGATCTTAAAATTGAGGTAAGAGGGTGAGAATGAGGGGCAAATGTGGAAATGAGGGTAGGAGAGACCCAGAGAGAAAGAGGAGGAGGAAGAAACCCCATGTAGCTTTATTTCTTTTATAGGCTTACTAGCATTCTGTCCTATGCATTTTGATATTGATTCTTAAATATCAATGCCAAGAATTAAGAATTTAAATTCTTAAATATTATTTTTGATATTCTAAGATTTACTTAAACTTGCCTGGGGCCAGGAAAAATGAAAAAGACTCAAATTTACCCCTACTTGCAATGGGGAAAATGTAAGTGGAGGATCATGTCAGATTAAGCCCCAACGTACAGATAGTTCACCCAGATATAAAAAAACTGAGGCACACAAGACTTTTAAACCAGTTACTGTCAACAGGTTCAGCTGATTATCTAGTACTTCCAGAGACGTAGGACTTAAAGTGAGTGAATAGGAAGTCAGAATTCAGGAGTCATGGGAGATCAAAAATTGGACATATGGGCCACGTGAGATGGCTCATGCCTATACTCCCATCACTTTGGGAGGCCGAGGCAGGAGGATTGTTTGAGACTAGCCTGGGCAACATGTTGGAACTCCATCTCTACAACAAAAAAATAAAAAAATTAGCTGGACATAGTGGCTTGTACCTGCTGAGATGAGAGGATTGCTTGAGCCCAGGAGTTTGAGGCTGCGGTGAGCTGTGATCATGCCACTGCACTCCAGCATGGTAGACAGCAAGACCCTCATTCTAAAAAAAAAGAAAAAGAAAAAATTGAACATAAGTGAGTGAATATTAATGAATATTATAGCATAACTATGAACTTGCTTTTTGTAAAGTTGAGGATATTAGAAGTTTTCCTCAATTTTCCTTCCCACCATCTTTCACTTGTACAAGATTGTTGGTTGTCCCCTTTGTCCACCCTTGCTCCTTGAGTATGAGCTAGTGGAGCTATTTGATACTTTCCCAAATCTGTACTAGAAGCACTAACTTTCTGACTTTTGCAGGTCTTAGAGGTTTAGACAGTTTAGCTAAAAAAGCTTCTTACCTAATTTAATTGATAATGTTAAGAAAGTTATAGAATACTGAAGAAAAGGTGAGCCAGTGTGTTCCAGTTAATTTAGCTCTTGCTTGTCAGTAGACTCTGGGCTAGTTACCTAGTATTTTCTTAGTGAGAAATAATGCGGGGAGATGGATGTTTGGATGAGACCCCAGAATTCATTCACCTGGTCACTTCCTCCGTAATTAGATATAAAGAGCAAGTCTGTACTTAGGCTTTGAAAATTTTAATCCTCTTTCCACCTCCTTTTTAGCTACTTATATAGATTCTGTAGTGTAACAGAACTTCAGGTTTTGAGAATTTTTTTAGCACTTAAACTGGGGCTTAGCTTCTAATGTGTTAGAGCAGTCATTGGTGACATTCTGTCTTTCTCAGCCACATACACCTTAACATTTTTAATATAGTATACACAGATTAAGCACTGTAACTTTTTTTTTGACACAACCTTACATACACATTCATTCATTTTTGTCTACCTTACAAATTTATTTTCTTGCTCCTTTCAGCATCCACATTACTATTTTGTTCACCTCTTCTCTCACCTTTTCACCTCTTTCTTTTTGCTACCTAGTTAAAATCATTCTCTGTATTTAGAGCTACAAAGAAAAGAGTAATTACTGTTTTAAAGCTGTTTCTCCAGCCTCCTTTCCAGTTGTAGTAAAAGGTGAGGTTCACCTTCCCTTTTCCAGTGAGATTCGGGGAAGACTTGCCTGCTACTTCCAGAGAACCGTTTTCTTCCTGAACGTACTCAGCTCATTTTGCGTGTTAGGAGGGGTCTTTTAGTTGTTTAGGCTTGGAAGACCCATACACCTCTGTTTTTCTGTCTGAATTCTGTTCCCACTGCACGTTTGATGGGGCAGCATATTGACCTTCAGTGGTAGAGAGACCAGGGCCAGACTTTGTAGGTTTGCCCTGCTATTTCTTTCCCATGAAGTCTCCATTCTTACTTCTTCCTGCATTGTCATTTGTGTGATTAGGTAGTCAGCAGTGGATTACTTTGGTGGTGGTGCACCAAAGACACTTTCATGTCAAAGTAGCTACATTAGCATTTTTCAGTTTTTTTTCTTTATAGATGATATTTTAGAATCCTAAGAATTTTGATAACTTGATAGGAAAGACTATTTATCCTTCCTTCAGTCCTGGCTCTTTTTTCTGCAGGTTTTGATTGAATTTGTTTAAACACGAAGTTATTATAAGTTTACTTCCCCCGTTTTGTTCCCCAAAACAATAATAAACACAAGCATAGATAGACCACTAACCAGATAATCTACTCACTAAACTAGGGGTGAAAGAATATTTTGTGAAGGCTTTTGTTTTAAATGGCTTATTTTACTGGGTGCATCTTATTAAAACTTACATCTCTATACAATGTATACATAAGGTATACCCAGATCCAACTGGATTTGGAAAATGTGTTTAAGTTTCTAGGGGGAAGTCACAGGTTTTCTTCCTATAACTTCTAAAGTACTTGGCTTTCTCATTCCTAGGGACACTATCTTTTTTCATGCCTATTTTAGAATTTCAGCCCCTCTTCAGCAGTTCTTTTTCTTATTGTTTGAAGTTAGCTAATTTACTAGGAAATGTTTTATGTGTGTGTAAGTTTCACAATTTATGAACTGCTAAAACTTTTGAATCATAGATGGTAATTAATCATGGGTAACTCTAAATCAGTAATTTAAGCTAGTTAAGTAACTCATATGTTGTATTTGTAGGTTGAAAATATTGAAAAAATGGACATAACTATCTTAAAGGTTACTGTTAACTTCTAAGGGCTTATAGCTATTCTTTTTATTAAATATGAAAAATAAAGATTGAGACAGTGCAGTACAATTTAAACTTGATTTCAGTGCTATGTAATACAGTACATCTACCTGTGAAAGAGCTAAGTTTTTAAAGAAACCTCATGTGTTATCGCTGTCTCTGGTGGGTGTAATATGATTTGACCTGTTCTTGAATTCATTTTAATCAAAATGTAATATAAAAATGCAATGTCATGTTCCAATTTTGGTTGGTTTGATTTACAGTAAATGAACGGGAACTTATCTTTTTTACTTTAGGCTTTCAGATAAACTTCTGTGAAAAGGCACAAAGTAAGCTACAAATTTTATGATATTATGCTATTTATTTTTTTCATATCCATCTTGGTTTTGGGACTGTGTCCACTATTGTTTCAGCTAACCAACCATGGCAATTTTACATTAAAAGAGCTTCCATTTTTCATTCTTCTTTCAAATATGAAAAAAATGGTATTCTTGATGTAAATTGTTCTTTTTTCACTTGAAATTGAAATGGCAATATATATATAGGTATTTAGATGTATATAATATGGAAATATGTATTTAGGTAAAGAAAAGTATATATAGGTATTCAGACTTAACATAATTTAAATTACAATTTGAAGAGAGTTCACTTTTAAGATTGTGCAGAAAGTATAGAGTTATATTCAGAGATCTTATGCTTTAAAATTGAATTATTATAAACCATACATTGAATGTATTTTTACTTTTTTTCTTTTAAACAAAACAGTGTTTTTCTCCTGTCTCCCTCACTGTCCTTATTCTGTATTAGGACATTAGTCTGCATATAATACAGAATAGACTTTCTGTATTAAAAACAAAGTTGTAAACCTTGCATTTTATTTTATTTTTTTGAGACAGGGTCCCACTCTGTTGTCCATGCTGGAGTGCAGTGGTGCAATCATAGCTCACTGCAGCCTTGACCTCCCTCAAGCTATCCTCCTGTCTAAGCCTCCTAAGTAACTATACAGGTGCATGCCTCCATGCAAGACTAACTTTAAACTTTTGTAGAGACAGGGTCTCGCTTTGTTGTCTAGGCTAGGAGTTCAAACTCCTAGGCTCAAGAGGTCCTCCTTTCTTGGTCTCCCAAAATGCCAGGGTTACAGGTGTGAGACACTGCACCCAGCCAAAAAAAAAAAAAAAATGCATTTAAACTTAAATGTCATCTGTATAAAGTCATCTGTATAAAAAAATCTCATCTCAAGGAGACTACTCTCCAGTTAACATAAAAATATCCCAGAATGTGATATAGGTTGTTTTAGCATTTGCCTCTTTATTCATGAACTGGAGAAGAATGATGCTTTGATATGTATCATTCTTAGGTAAATTGATTCAAAGGCAAAAAACATCTAACCTGGAAAAAACATTTCTGCTATGTTTAAAATTTTTTTTGAATGAGAATGCTTTATTTCCACGGGTTGACTGTTGTGACTTCTTTGAAATGTAGTTAGCAAAAATTTATTTCTTGAATGGTTTACCCATGATGTAATTGTATATAAATAATAGAGATCAAGCACCTAGACCCTAGGATAAAATTTTTTAATTGGTTCATTACTATTACTCTTCCCTTGCCTTAAATAAACAGCCAAAAATAATACACAGTTTCCTGCTTATAGTGAACCTTTATATATATCTATATGTAATAAAGTTACAACTTCTATTTTGTACTTTTAATTTTGACATATTCACTGTGATAATTTTTAGCTTTCACTTTTAAAAACATCTGCTTAATATTTAGCATGACAGAGTTTAGCTTTTGTTTTTTAGAGACGGAGTTTCGCTCTTGTTACCCGGGCTGGAGTGCAATGGCGTGATCTCGGCTCACCGCAACCTCCGCCTCCTGGGTTCAGGCAATTCTCCTGCCTCAGCCTCCTGAGTAGCTGGGATTACAGGCACGCGCCACCATGCCCAGCTAATTTTTTGTAGTTTTAGTAGAGACGGGGTTTCACCATGTTGACCAGGATGGTCTCGATCTCTTGACCTCGTGATCCACCCGCCTCGGCCTCCCAAAGTGCTGGGATTACAGGCTTGAGCCACCACGCCCGGCAGATCATTATACTTCTTAAAGCTACAGTTCAGGAATATTCAGTCTTTAGTCCCACATTCTACCTCAGAGTACCTGAGGGTGTGGCACACTTCCTTAAATCAGCAATTCACTGGAGAAGTAATTCTCGGCAGAGGTGGCAATGGTAATAGGAGTGATAGAACTGATTCTCTTTGTGGGCCCCTACCCCCTTGAGAGTCACATTCCCTTGAAGCTGGATGTTTATAGCTGAGGTGGTGAACGCTAATTCTGGAATATATATTTGCATAGATTAATGATTCATGCTGTTGAGTTGTGTGCTTTTGGTGTTATAAATCATCTTTATTCTTGAATCAGAGACTGAGGCAGACATTAGAAGATAGCCCTGGTTTTTTAACTCACAGTACTCCCAAGTGCTGCTCCTTGAAGATGTATGTGACTTCTTAGCTGTTGATGAATTTTCCAACCACTTCTAATCAGGCATTTGTGTTTTTGAGTTCTGATTTTGTTCAGAATATTATGAGGCCTTTTGCCTTTGTAGTATGTATGTTTCTGGAAACTTTTATCTATTATTTAGGAAATTTGCTATATAAAGGTAACATTTTTTCAGTGTTTTTTTTTTTTTTTTTAAATTATCTACAACTAACATGTGATTATATTATTGTTCTTGAGCAAATTTGTTTTCCCCAGCGTTAATTGCCTCATTTATGGTTCACCGTGAATCTTCTCTGAACATAAGTAAATATATCAGTTAACCACTCAGCTCTCCCCTTTCCCCCCCCCTTTTTTTTGTTGAGTTAGCTACCCATCCATACTCTCGCCCTTATCTGGAGTGGTAGCACTTGAGGCCTGCTTCACACTGCTGTTCCCATTGTTTTGTGAAGGTCTGATTCTGATTCTCTGTTTCTAGGATTTCATCTTTTTGTTTTATTTTTCCCATTTCCACTCTGCCAAAATGAGAATAGAGATATATTCTTATCTCAGGAAGACTGAGAATATATAATCTACCAAAATATACTCTCATTTTGGTACAGTATACTAAGTCTTCCTGAGATAAGAGTTCTGTCTTAGTAGTTTTTAATTATTTCTTAAGCTTTTTGGGTCTTTCTGTGCCTGAAAATGCCTTTTTCTTTTTTGAGACAGGGTCTTGTGCCGTTGCCCTGGCTGGGAGTGAATGGTGCTATCATAGCTCACTGCAGTCTTGAACAACTGGACTCAAGCGATTCTCCTACCTTACCCTCTTGAGCAGCTGGCACTACAGGCATATGCCACCATGTCTGTCTCATTGTTAAATTTTTTTGTAGAGGACGGGGTCTTGCTCTGTTGCTCAGGATGGTCTCGAACTCAAGCTATCCTGCCTTGGCCACCCAAAGTGCTGGAATTACAGGCGTGAACCACTGCCTGGCTTTGAAAATGTCTTTAAATAGTTAACCCTCATAATAGATTAGTAGTTTTATTGGGTATAGAATTCTGGGTCAGAAATTTTTTTCCAGAATTATGTTTGTATTTCAACAGCATTTTCTATTTTACATGGTTACTTTAAAAGGTTAGATGTGATTTTGATTCCTGAAACTTGGTTTGTGACCTTTTTTTCCTTTTGTGATTTATTGTGGGATTTTTCTTTTTCCCCAGTGTCTGAAATCTCACTATATTTGCATTCTTCATCCCCCTCCCCTCCCCTCTTCCCTTTTCCCAGTCTTTTCCCTCCTTTTCCTCCTCCCCTTACCTTTCTTTTTCCTTCTAGTTTGCTCTCAGTTGACTCTTTCAATCTAGAAACCACTCTTTCATTCTAGGAAAAACAGTTTTTTATTCTGTTATTGATCTGGGATGTCTGTTCTTCTTACATTGATGTATTGATTCGGTGAAATCCCATCAGACTTTTAAAATATGTATAATGTGACATTTTGATTCCAAAATATGTGTGAAAATGCAAAGTACCTAGAATAGCCAAAAACAATTTTCTAAAACAGTAAGTTGGAAGACTTAAACTACCTGATTTCAGCTACTACAAGCTACAGTAATTAAAGCTTGGTGGAAGGATATTAAGGATAAACAAATAGAACAATGGAATATAATAGAAAGTCCAGTAGACAAATGCACATGTATAGCCCATTTATTTTTGACTATGGTGCTTATACAGTTCAGTGGGAAAAGGGATAGGCTTTTCAAGGTGATGGAACAAACTGGAAAAAGGTTTGAAAGGTTAAATCTTAATTTCTACTTCACACCACATGCAAAAATTACCTCAAGATGGATCATAGACCTAAAAGTAAAAGCAAAACCTCTATAAAGCTTCTAAAAGAAAATATTCAAAATATATTTATTTCACATAGGCAGAAATTTCTTTGATAAGACAAACCATTAAAAAAAATAAATCGGATTTTATCAAAATTAAAAATTTCTGTTCATCAAAAGTTTTTTAAGAAAATAAATAGGCAAGGCCAGGTGTGGCGGCTCATGCCTGTAATTTGGTGAGGCTGAGGCGGGCAAGTCACTTGAGGTCAGGAGTTCGAGACCAGTCTGACCAACAGAGTGAAACCACATCTGTTAGCTTGGAGTGGTGGTGCATGCCTGTAATCCCAGCTACTTGGGAGGCTGTGGTGGGAGAATCACTTGAACCCAGGAGGCAGAGGTTGCAGTACTGCACTCCAGCCCGGGCGACAAGAATGGAAAAACAACAACAACAAGAAAAAAAAAAAAAGGCAAATCACATACTAGAAGAAAACATTCACAATGTATACTTTTGACACAGTACTTTTGTAAACATTCACAATGTATACTTTTGACAAAGTACTTTTGTATGTGTAAGGAGCTACAACTCAAAACAACCCTGTTTACTTTTTTGTTTTTGAGACAGAATTTTGCTCTGTCACCAAAGCTGGAGTGCATCATAGCTTACTGTAACGTTGAACTTGTGGGTTCCAGCGACCCTCCCACCTTAGCCTCCAGAGTAGCTGGGACTACAGGCACATTCCATCAACCCTGACTCATTAAAAAAAATTGTAGAGATAGGATCTTACTATGTTGCCCAGCTGGGTTTTGAACTCTCCTTAAGTGATCCTCCTGCCTTGGCCTCCCAAAGTGCTGGGATTACATACATTGAGCCCCTGGGGCCATCCCAAAGAACCCAATTTAAAAAATGGTTTAAAGACTGTGATAGACACTTCACAAAGAATGTATTGAAATGGATGATAAGTATTAGAGAAACAAACATAAGAACATTAGTAAGAAGAGAAATGCAGACTAAAACAGAAGGTGATAACCACTACACCTCCACCTGAAGTAGAATTTAAAAGACCAGGCAATATGTTGGCAAATCATGGTATGAGCAGAATTCTCCTATATTGTTGAGGAAGTAGAAAATGGTACAACCACTTTAGAAAACTGTTGGCTAGGTGTGTTATAAAATGAAACAAGCATCTGCCTCATGACCCAACCGTTTTACTTTTTGTTATTTACCTAAAATGAAAATAACCTCAAATATTTTTAGGTGAATGTTCATAGAAACTTTATTTGTAATAGCCTCCAAATTAGAAACCCAGTGTTCAATAATGGAAAAATGAATAAATAAATTATGGTATATTATTCAATAAAATAATCTTCCTCAGTAAAGTGGAGAAAATACTAATAACTGCAACCATATTGATGAATCTCTAAAAATGCTGAGCAGAAGAAGCCAGACACAAAAGAGAACACAGTGATTCTATCTCTGTGAAATCTAGAGTAGGCAGAAAGCATCTGTGGTGATTGAAATCAGAGCAATGCTTGCCCCTGGAGGAGATTGACAAGAATGGCATTAAGGAACCAGGAAATTTTCTGGGGTGATGGAATGTTCTCTATCTTGCTATATTTTGTGAGATAGAAAGGTGTTGGCATTTGTCAAAGCGCATTGAACCATGTATGCTTATGATTTGTGCATCTCACTATATGTAAATGATGCCTCAATTTTAAAAGCAGTGCAGAACAATAACAATAACAATAACAATTATGTATACATGTATTATTATTTTTTGAGACGGAGTCTTGCTCTATCACCCAGGCTGGAGTGATAGATCAGTGATGTGATCTCACTGCAACCTCTGCCTCCTGGGTTCAAGTGATTCTCCTGCCTCAGCCTCCTGAGTAGCTGAGATTACGGGTGCCCACCGCTACGCCCGGCTAATTTTTTGTCTTTTTAGTAGAGGCAGGGTTTCACTGTGTTACCCAGGATGGTCTTGATCTCCTGACCTTGTGATTCACCAGCCTTGGCCTCCCAAATTGCTAGGATTACAAGAATGAGCCACTATGCCTGGCCAGTAACAATAAAAATTATATTGATAGATTTTTTTTTTCCTCTCACTGAACAGTATTTATGGTTTTCTCCATGTTCTCAAAGCGTCTGTATATTTCAACAATTGAGATGACTCGATAAATATGTGAACCCTGTGTTTTTATTAAATTCAGCTTTTATGCCTGTGGAACAATACTGTGATAAATTTTATTTCTGCCCATTTGGTTTCCCTTTTTGTAATGTTTGTGAAAGAACACTAGAGTGAAATTTTTAATATCTGTTGCACCACATCAGGTATGGTGTACCCTGAAGTAGTTAAAGTCCCCTAAAAAGTGTGTGGAGACTTGTTTTTAGTGTGCTTTAAAAATTTACTATTGCTTGGCCGGGTGCGGTGGCTCAAGCCTGTAATCCCAGCACTTTGGGAGGCCGAGGCGGGTGGATCACGAGGTCAAGAGATCGGGACCATCCTGGTCAACATGGTGAAACCCCGTCTCTACTAAAAATACAAAAAAAATTAGCTAGGCATGGTGGCGCGTGCCTGTAATCTCAGCTACTCAGGAGGCTGAGGCAGGAGAATTGCCTGAACCCAGGAGGCGGAGGTTGCGGTGAGCCGAGATCGTGCCATTGCACTCCAGCCTGGGTAACAAGAGTGAAACTCCGTCTCAAAAAAAAAAAAAAAAAAATTTACTATTGCTTTTTTCTCTTTTTTTAATACAGAAAAAGTATAAAGAAGAAAGCCAAAATGGCCCATTATCTTATCATCCAGGTTCATGTTACTCTTTAAAAAATCAGTAGTACCTGCTTCTGGTAAGATAATTCAGTTGATGCAGAAAGTTATAAAACAAAAAATAAGCTTCATGCCCTTAATATTTATCTCCATAGATAAATGTTATAAATCCTATTTATATAATAGGGTTAATAGAGATAACTATTAAATGTAATATGCTCTGCAGAAAAGCTTATTATAGATCAGAATATATAATAATTTATATAAATCCTTAAAGAATATTTACACACAATAGCAGTTTTATTCTGTACTTTTTGTAGCTTGATGTTTTTCACTTAGTAACTTAGTACATCTTGAAAATATTTCTGAATTAACACATAGCCTTTTCTTTTCTCCTCCTCCTCCTTTCTTCATTCTTCTTTCTCCTTCCTTTTTCTTTTGGTGACGGTCTCGCTGTGTTGCCTAGGCTGAAGTGTAGTAGTATGATCTCAGCTTACCACAGTCTCTACCTCCTGGGCTCAAGTGATTCTTGTGCTTTCACCTCCCAAGAAACTGGGTTACAGGTGTGCACTACCACACCTGGCTAATTTTTGTATTTTTTTGGTGGAGATGGGGTTTTACCTGTTGGCCAGGCTGGTCTTGAATTCCTGTCCCAAGTGATCCACCCACCTTGGCTTCCCAAAGTGCATGGGCGTGAGCCACTGCGCCCCACTCACATACTCTATTCTTAGTTATGTAGTATTTATTACATTGTATAGGTGTATTCTATATTTAACTAGTTTCTTATTAATAGCTATTTAGATTATTTTCACCGTTTAATTAAAAACAATGTTTTAAAGAACAACTTTGTGCTGGTGAAACATACTTTTAAAAATTAACCAGTGTTTAATTGTTCATAGGTTGGTAATGAGACTGGAAGTAGCTGTGTCTTCTCAACCTTGTTAACTACTGAGGTACTAGACTGGAAAATTCTTTGTTACGGGAGGCTGTTGTCCTGTGCATGGTAGAATGTTTACTGGCATCCCACTGGGTGTCAGTAACACCTGCCCCCTACTAGCTATGACAGCCAAAAATGTCTTCAGACATTACCAGATAACCCTTGGAGTGCAAATTTGCTCCTTCTTAGGACCACTGTTACAGAGAGCACTGCAGGTTTACATAGATGAATCTTTTTCCTGACTGAGGAGCTGCAGAGGTCAGATATAAGAGGTGTATTCCTTATCTTGGGGTTTGAATGGATGCCAGAAAGGGGAATTTGGGGAATGGGTATAGGGATATCTCATAAAGTCCAGGGAAAACATCAGAGCATTCAGAGCAACTCATAGTTGCCAGAAACCAAAGCAGTCTGTGTGTGTTCTTTCATACATTTAGCAAATGTTTGTTGAATGTCTACCATCTGCTAGTTACTATGGTGTGGGCATGGGTATTTCATTTTGAAAAAAGAGATGTGATTGTTACTTCATGAAGATTGAGATTTAGAGGTAGACACAGGTGTGTGTGTGTGTGTGTGTGTGTGTGTGTGTGTGTGTGTGTGTAACATAGTCACCTATATGCTATTAAAGGAAAAGAACCAGGTGCTAGGAGAGAAATACAGGCCTAATTTAGATAGAATGAGGGTAGTGAAAAGGTAGTCAATGAAGGTTTCTAAACCTGAGTGAGTTTTACTAGATTTGGGAGAGGGATTGATGAGTGTTCCAAGTGGAAGGAATAGCATGTATTGGACATTGCCAAAGTGGGAAATATTCAACTTGCCATGGAATGGAAGGAATGACAGTTTGCATGGAGGATGACTGAGTGGGAAATGTAAAATGGCTTTAAATTAAGGTGTAGAGATAGGTATGGAGAGATGGGCCATGTAATGTAGGGCCTTGCAGATAAAGAGCTGGATGACATCCAAAGTGCAGGGGGGAGCTATGGAAAGGTTATAAGCAGGTGAGTGATTTACAATCTCAACTGATTATTTACAGGCTATAGTAATTATTCTGGCTGCCATGTAGAGTATGTGTTGGAAGCAGGTAAGACTAGAATTAGGGAGACCTGATAAAGTTATGGTAATACAGCTGAAACATAGTGGTCACTTGTAATGGCTTTAATAATATTAAATTGATGACAGTAGAGGTAGAGAGACTGTGAAGAGATTTTGGAGATAAGTAATAAATATTGGTAATAATTTGAATGTAGGAGGTGACAAGGAGGAAGGTGTTCATAGTGACTTGTAGAATTCTGGCTTGAATTAATGGGTTTAGTTGCTATTACTGTGATGGAGGCAACTGGGTATGGAGCATCTGTAGATAGGGGTCATAAAAGGACAAGAGTTGGGTTTTAGATACGTTAAGTTTGAGATGTCACATATTTTATTAGAGATATCAAAACATATATATATAGTGTGTGTCTATATATGTATGTATATGTATTATATGTGTGTCTGTGCTCATGTGTATATGTTGCATAGTCTGGTGTTGAAAATAGGAGTCTAATGCCAGAGGTAAAGTTGTAGATTGGAGGTAAAAAGTTGAGAATTGCTGGCATATAGATGATAGGGTTGCCTAGGAAGAGGGTGAGAATGTATTTTGATGAGAAAATTTGGTCCAGGGCTAAGTCCTGAGGAAATCTAACATTTAGAGGTTGGATAGAAGAGGGGAGGGACAGGCAGAAATTAAAAGATGATTGAGAATTAGAAAACAAACTGGTAGTGTGTGATGTTACAGAAATCTAGCATTGTTTCAAATTGCAGGTGGGAAGGAATTATGGTTGGCTGTGTCTGATGTTCTGAGAATACTAGTAAAGCTACCTTGTTGGTAAAAACAATGTGTTTTTAGAGTATGTAAATATCCCGAGACACACTCTAAATGACTCTTAATTTCTTACATACTTGGAGAAGAGGTTTTAGCTGCCACTGGAAATTGGTGCCTAAACAGGGAAAGCATCTTACAAAAACATGTAACCTATAGGTTTAGGGCAGCTTTCTTTACCTTTTCTTGAAGAAGCACAGCCCAGAAAAACTACTCTAATGATAAACTTTGAGTACAGCTGACACACGATCAGGTCTTAGGAAACAGTCAATAGCAGCAGCATGATGCAAACATGATTGTTTGTCTTGTCCTCTTTAAAATTTCTCTTTTCCATGGTGATAAAACATTTCTTTGTGTTTTATAAATCAGTACTGCTTCAGAATACTGCAAACTTATGTAATTTGTCTAATGCATCCTGTTCACTAAATGTCAATATCAGAATTTGAAATTTTCTGTTTAGAATGTTTGAGCCGTTCTTCTGGACATTTCATTTTTCAGTTTTTCCTTTTGCTTCATCTTAGATCACAGCAAAAATACTCATTTGTTAGTAGTGCCAGGAAGCAGGCAGTTTCCATGGTAACTGACAGACCGAGTTTACTGTGGAAATTTCCGGAATTAACAGAGCTGCATTGCAGAAGGATGCATAAAGCAGTATTCATCTAGAGATCGTAACAGTACCGACACAGAAGAACAGTTGCAGTGGTGTGCAGGGTATGTGTTACCTTTATTTTCCTGTCTAAAGAAGATAGTCATATATATATAGATGTATCTATATATATATATGTATCTATATATATATATGTATCTATATATATATAGATATATCTATATATAGATACATCTATATATATATATATATATGCTGAGGAGAGAGCAAAACAGCTTGGGGCATTTTAGTATATGCTGGCTTGGTAGACTCAAAGTTGCTTAGGAAAAAATGATTTGGGAAAGAAGGTATGTTGGATAGCATTGGGAAGAAATCAAGATCAGATGATCGAGGTAGAAGAATGTTATAGTGAAATAAGAGGAGAAAACATACTTCAAACTAATTTAAATAATAAAAGGTTCTTAACGGCTAGTGGTTCTAGGCACAAGAAGATATTTATTTATTGAAGGAAAATATAGACATTGGAAAGTTTGGGGAATCAAGTTCTCATGTCCAAGAAGAAGAAATCTGTTAAGATAATTAGCTATTACTTGCGGAAAGATAGGTAGATATGAGAGATGCCCAAGGCATTAAACAAGGAGGTTTGCTGACATCTTAGTGTACTTACCTAAGTGATGAGAGAATCCTAGAAGGGTTTCTGCCCGTAATTCCACTCCCTGTTGATTGGTGGGGGATTTTCAAGAAAAATTCTGAAATGTGTCTTGAGATTAAATTCTGGGAACAAAACTACAGAATTTGGGCACATAATTGAAAGTGCTTATCGTATACATCATAATTATAAATTTAAAAGAGAAAAAGGATATAGAAAATATGATTTAGATTATTTAAATGATAGATGCAGTTTAGATTGCTAGATACCATTTAGGTATCATATATGTCATGTAGTCAGTAAACTATAGCTCATCAGCCAAATCCATCCTGTTTGCTTGTTTTTGTAAGTAAAGTTTTATTGGAACATAACCACACCCATCTGGCTGCATAGTTGCAACAGAGACTCATGGCCCAGAAAGCCTAACATATTTGCTATCTGGTTCTTTACAGAAAAAGTTTGTGACTCGTGATTTAGATGGTGTGCTGGATTTTTCAAGGCTGCTGTGAGATTACCACGAACTTAGTGGCTTAAAACAACAGAAATTTATTCTCTCACAGTTCTAGAGGCCAGAAATCTGAGATCAAGGTGTTGAGAGGGCCGTGCTTCTCCCTAAGGTTCTAGGGAGGATCCTTCTTTTCTTCCTGTTTCTGGTACTGCTGCTCTTCCTTGACTTGTGGCAGCATAACTGTAATCTCTACAGCCTTCTTCCTTGTGTGTGTCTTGTGTGTCTCTGTCTTCTCCTTTTCTTTGTTTGGTCTCTTATAAGGACAGTTATTTTATTTAGGGCCCACCTAATCCAGGATCTCTTTTTTGAGATATTTAATTTGATCTGTAAAGATAAGGTTACTTTCTGAGATTCTGGATGCACATTCTTTTTTGTGTGTGATGGGTGGTGTATAGTTCACCCTACTACAGATGGTATTGAAGAACTGAGTTAATGGCTTCTTAAGTCACATTGTATATTAAGGATAGCCAGTTCTTATTGTTTCCTTTGACCTGCTGGAGAAGATATTAAACTCACGTTTCAAAGGCAAGGTGATCAAAGCATAGTTGGAAATCATAGAAGACAGCCGCTGTGACACAAATATAAGCAGTAAAGGGAGTACTAGAAAATTCATAGGAAACTGACAAAGACCAGTGCCTGATGCTTTGTATTATTCTCTTCTTGTGTCTTCATATCTTTCTACCCTTAACTCCCACCTCCAAAAAACAACAAAGTGAATTTGAAATTTTAATGAAGAATAGTTGGCACAAAAACAAAAATGACAGTTTTGAGGGATGAGACTCATGGCTAAATTATGGCTCTGGGAAGTATATATATCATATATATATGATATATATATATGATATACTTATATATATGTATACATATATATATAATCTATATATATATATACATATATATATATGTATATGATTCAAAAGAAGTAGACTTAATAAGCAAGTGGAGGAGTGGCAGTGTAGAAAGTACACACCAATGTATAGACCCAGTGAACCTGAAACTTGACTTTTGTTGATAGGGTACAAAGTATTGGCCTAGGTAAGAGAGGTCTGTGACACTTTTATCATATGGGCATATTTGTAAACCATAATAATAGTAATAGATACCTATCTTTGCATTCTCCAGAAGTCTCATTTAGCATATTTGGGTATATTCTGAAATGTTTAAAAAGTGATGAATTTACATGGTGAAGAATCAAATAGCAGTAGGCAAGGGATTTCAATGTAGATGCTGGAGCTGGAGAGAAAACTCACCTAATATTGTCTATATCTCACGTGCACACTTTGAAATGAAGCTTCTGATACAGACATTATGGAGGTGATCATCAGAGGAATTAAACAGAAATGGTTAATCCAACTTAGGGTTCACTAAGAGTAAGTAAGCAGTACCAAACGAGCCTAATAAACCTTTTTGAAAGTGTTACTAGGACTGTGGATCAGGAGTTTGTCACAGACTAGGTGTATCTTAGAGATTTCAACATTCTTGAGTACAGAGGAGGAACATGAAGCCCAATCCAGTATTTTCAAGAAGCTTCGTAGAAGGACAAAACTGAAGTCTGCATTTTCTTTCTAATCAAATTCTGTTAGTCTGTGACCATGTATATCCTGAACGCCAAATTGAGACTTTGGGAGGCCATGGGAATGGAAGTTTTCTATTTTCTTCCTTTAACAAAACATTGAATTGAATTGTATGCTTAAGCCTAAATAGCTTCATAGAAAGATTCAAATTCCCTTGAATACAACTACAGTTAGACTTTAACTTTTAATTTTTCTGTTAATATCATGAGTATATGATAAAAATATCAAAAGGAAATAGAATGAAATCAGGTTTAAAGCATAGATTGGTATTAAATTATGCTGGTTGATCATAGTTCATATGTACAGGCTAAAAATTTAAGGAGTATAAGGTACTCATAAATACCCTAGATTTCAAGTCTTTATATGATGTAAATACATGTGTTCCTAAATGTGTCTATACATAAAATTTATTTCTATAAAATTGTTTTTCTTTTCTCATTGACATGTTTAGATAAATGTCTCAAAAACAATAAAAGTTTGAGAATGTTTAATAATTAGGTGTTCAAAACACAACTCACATAGTAATAGTATTAAGAATTTGCTAACAGATCACAAATGAAAAGTAGCTAAGACTCTTGGTTCTTAATTGCTTCAGGAACTAAATTTCTGACTTCATAAAAGCAATTTGAAGTTTGTAGTACAAAATGATATATGAGTAGCTGTGTCCTGCTAAAATATTTATTAAGAAACAAAGATGAAAATATGAAACATTAAAAATTAAGGTGACTTAACTCCCTATTGGATCTAATAATAGATACTAATAGTAACACAGCCAGATTAAGGAAAATTTTTACCCAAGGTTTGTTTTATAGCAGAGACTTCATCCCATCCCTTTTCATGCTCCTTTCTCTTCCTGCCCACACTGGTAACTACCAGAAAAAAACTGGGGAGGGATGGGAAGAGGGAGGAGAAATGGAGGCTGACGAATTTTATCTGGGAAGCGTGGTCATTATGAGTAAGGTGTTCTAGGTGGAAGTAGAGAAGGATTGTAGTAACAGTATAGTGCTGCCCAGCATAGACTTAGGATTGTATTTTTATATTGCTGTTGTCAGTTCAGAATACAGTATTAGAGACCAAGGCAATTTGAGAGAGGTGAATTTACCATGGAAGCAGTGAGCTCTAATTGATAATATACTAAGCCTTAGATATCTCAAATCTGCCTTTGAACAATAGGCATGTAGTGGGCAAATCCCTATCAGACAAGTAGAGTGCGGCCCAAGGATAATCTTCTCTCTTTTTCTTTCTCTCCTCTCAGCAGTTTTATTGAGGTATAATTGGCACAGAATAAACTGTACATATTTAAAATGTATATAGTTTGCTAGGTTTTGACATGTGTACATCTGTGATGCCATTACCATAGTCAAATTAACATATCCATCATTCCTAGAATTTCTTCCTTCTCATTGTAGTTTTTATGTTGAGGCATTTGATTTGGTTATTTTTTTTCTGTTTTCCACATCTATATTTAACATACTTTATCCATCCTTTGGCTCTTTAAAAATATGGAATACATGTTTCATTGTCTGTCTACTAATTCTAGTATTTCTGGGTCAGTTTCAATTGGTTGATGTTTTTCTCTTCATTACGGGTCATGTTTTTCTGCTTTTTTGTGTACTGTAGTAATTTTGGATTGCATGCCGGAGATTATGGTGTGATGGCCGATTTTGTATTTTCATAAATGTTTTTGAGTTTTGTTCTTACGTTACATGGAGGTACTTTGATTCTTTCAGGTCTTGCTTTTTAGCTTTGACAGATGTGATTACTCTAGAGCTAATTTTGCCTTACTAGTAAGGTAAAATCTTTCTAAGTACTTGATTGAATTCCCATTAGGAAGTTTTCCACTCCAGTGAATAAGAATAGGAGCTGCCTTGTATGAGCCTGGATATCATTCCCTCTTAATCCATTTAGGTGGCTCCTTCTTCAGGGTTGTGTAGGTTCCTCATAAGCATGCACTGATCAGGGAGGGCCCTCTGCATATCTGTGGGGTTCTCTTTCTGTGTAGCTGTCTCTTATCCTGCACTCTGGCTTGTGAACTCTGGCTGCCTTGGTCTCCCCAGATTCCCAGATCCTTGTTCTCAACATCCAGGGTCTGCCTGGATCGCCCTCCATGTATCACAGTTGGTGAACTCTTCAAGCCCTACAGTTGTAGGGCTCACCTTACATATTTCCCATTTTTCAGGGTCTGCTGCCTGTTGTTTCCGGAGGATTTCCAATGTCTTCCAGATTGCCTCATACGTTCTTTTTTTTCCATTGTTTTAGGTATAAGGGTAAGTCTGTCTCCTGACACTTCACAGTAGGACAAGTGGAGGTGCCACATGTGAGATGGGAACAGGAATTGTGGAACTAGGGAATAATATCTTGATGACATTGAGA